TCTCTAATAGTAGTGCACCTTAAGCTTCGTTTAAATCCCTCAAAATCTCGAGAACCACTTATCAGAACCTATCGATGTGGGATCGGAAAATATAGCTGACGATGAGATCTAGTGGGGGGATTTGAGTGTTGAGCTTCTGGGAAGACTTGGAAACCGTAAAATAGTCACCAACTTGGCTCACCTGGGTGCAATACTATTAGAGGAAATACGGTATCTTAAAGTTTGGAATCGAATTTGGAAATTTGGTGGGTTATCAGAGTTTGCGAAAGCGCGTGACAGAAATCACCGGAAGTATTCATGGAAAAAAGATTGTAGCAAGATTTAAAGAAAAGATACTGAAAAGAAAGACAAAAGGAATTATGAAAATGAAAATGTAAATGAAAATAGGTGTAAAGGTGGCAAGTAGATATTTTGCTTCAAGCGCTATCTTTTGATATTAAAGTGCAAATTTTTTATCGAAGCAGCGCGGAAAAACGAGCGCAACAAACTGTTGAAAGTTTCAAACCTTTCTGTTGAAAAACTACGCGACTGTACAAGTAAAGCGCTACTATTACAAGCTTTACGGTAGCATGTTTGAAAATGGATTAGAAAAAAGCCAAGCAGAAGCTTATAGAAGCTTATAGAAAGCTTTTTTAAGCTCAAATCAAGCCAATTGGAAAGCTTCAGAAAGGTTTGAGACATTTGAGAACAAAGTACAAAGCTAACTTTGATGACCATCGAAAACTTTAAAATTTACCTCATCGATTCAGGTGCAAGCTCAATGAGCAAATCATCATGGATTTGGTAATACTCTAAAAATATCTTCTACACAAAGGGCGCCTTTTCTTTGAGAGGGATTTCCTGGGGATTATTCGATGGAGTCAAAATCGCAACATAATCAGTGAAGAAAAGAGGTAATTCTTTGCTTTTTTTTCGATATTCACATGGGATTTGTGAAGAGATTAACGACAAAAATTTTCTCGCCTTTTTTTCGGAGAATCCGAAAGAGAAAGGGAAAGATTCTTTGCTATGGTAACCGCTTTTTTTTTGGTTCAGAAGGGGGAAATGACCGATCAGCCCTTTTCTTCAAATTCGCGGCATTCGTGAGGGGTGAGATATGAGAAAAATGAGAGGAAATTAAAAGGAAAAAGGTAGAATTTTGAATTTTAGGGATTTTTTGAAACAATCCATGGGTTAGTGCCAATTAGATGCGCATTTAGAATGTACTCTGAGTATTTTAGTGTTCAAACAGTAGTTTCCCATCAATTGCTTTCTAGAGTTTATAAGCCAGGCTAGAAGCTAGATAATTTACGCATCCAGGAGAAGACTTTCAAATAAGTTCTCTATAGTTCTTGAAATATTCGAGTTCTCTAAGGCTTAGACGATAAAATTCGAGTATTAGTAAAGTGTTAGGCGAAATCTAACCAAATAAAGCCAAACAAAGCCAAGCTTTTCAACCCAATAACACTATATACTGTACTGAATGTCCCTAGGTTTAGAATGTACTCGGAGTATTTTAGTGTTCAAACAGTAGTTTCCCATCAATTGCTTTCTAGAGTTTGTAAGCCAGGCTAGCCAGGCTTTACGCATTCAAGAGAAGACTTTCAAATAGGGATTTGTTTTTTGTAGGCTTAAATCTAAGCCTTAAATCTAGCATCAAAATCGGCATCAAAAATCGTAAAGTTTTCTCAAATTGATGAACTTTTTGAGCCTTTCAGCGACTACACCTGTGCGATCAAAAAAGCACCACAATTAGATGGGAAAAGCCGGGAAAAGAGGCCATCAAGAAGCGATCTTTTTGAGTTGATCTTTTAAAGGGTAATTAGGCAAACAAAAATGACTGCGTAGAAATAGTAAATGTTTTTCTTTGAAAGAAATCTGTTTTCACTAGCAAACGCACACCAGAAGGTGTCACACTTCATCTGTCACACATCTGTCACACTCGCAAGGAACACATTTCAGTTCCGACAACGAAACAGATTCAAAGTCAAAGTTCTTTATGAGAGCATAAAACTGTTTAAACATAAAACCATAAAAACTGTTTTCTGTTTTCTTGTCGGGACTAAAGTGTGCGTTTCTTGGGAGTAAGTACGGCGAAATACGGCGAGTACGATGGTGCTTTCGGATTTTGATAAGAATCGTTATTTTTCGAGAAAAACAACTTTAAAATTTCGGCGTCTACTCGAAAACGAGGCATTTCTCTAAAAAAGGACTCCTTTCGGGCAGACGAAATGTATCCTTGTGGTCGCATCCCTGGTTCGGACCCGGTCAGCCCCATTGCTTTTTTTCCAAACTTTGTATTTTATATATTTCAAAGATTATAGAACGTTTAACGTCATTATACTGCTTATACGTCGATCCATTCGAGTCAATTTAATGCTCCCCTTGAGATATGTTTTTTTTAGAAATTGTATTTCTGATTGTGATATTGTCTCATTGCGAAAAACTATGCTTTAATCATTTTGTAAAGGAATTTCATCTTTGTTGTTTGATATTTTTGATTGATTTTTTGTGTTGGCTTCTGGATTTATGGATAAAATTGTTGAAGAATGGCGAAAAAAAATAAATTTTGAAAGTTCTATAATCTTTGAAATATATGAAATACAAATTTTGGAAAAAAAGCCAAAAAAAATGGCGCCGGTCGGGACCGAACCAGGGACGCAAGGGCGAGAGGCGAGGACTCTACCCGCTGACCACGGGAAGACCTTTCACCTGCCTGAAGGAAGTCCTTTTATAGGGGCGCGTTTCGTTTTTGAGTAGACGCCGAAATTTTAAAGCGGTTTTCCTCAAAAACTAGCAATCCTTATCAAAATCCGAAAGCACCATCGTACTCGCCGTATTCGATAGGTGTTTGCATCCAATTTGGTGCCGAAATCTCATGATCACTTCTGACCATTCCCTTGTAATTTCGGGCGTAAAGGTTGGCTGAAAGTATTATCTTGAAAGTTGAAAGTTTAAACTATCAAGAGTCAATACTTCAAAAAATACTGAGGTTTACTCATCTAAGAATGTTTAGTGCGAAAAATGCTGAGGTTTACTCATCTTCAAAAATCACTTTTCAATTTGTCATCGGAATGTTTAGTGCGAAAAAATTGGGGTGAACGCAAAATTAAAAAAGAAAAACGAAAGAGTTTATTCGATCAGAAAAATTGGGTGGAAAGGGGGATGAGATAAAAGATAAAACTTGTGGTGATGAGTGAGCGAAAAATCGGCGCATTCGGCGGAGTTTTGATAAGGAAAACTAAAAAAAAAAAAAAGAAAATGGAAGGGTGTCTCTTGATTGAAAATCTTGAGACAAATAAGTTGATTGGGTGAAAGGAGCAATTAGCAATTAGCAAAATGGATTTTGGTGAGAATATTGGCGATGTACAAGTGGTAAGCTTAATGAAAACTTTCAATTTTCCCTTGAGAATGGTTTTTGAGTGGGAAAGTTACCGTAATCTCTTCAATAAACAAAAAAAATTACGGTTATTTAAGAAAATTGGCATTTTTTAGGTAAGGTAGATTTAGAATGAGTGTCACTTACGGTAACTCTCAATAAGCCTTAGTTTACAGTAGTTCTAATAAGCTTTAGATAATACTCTTAATGAGCTTTTGGTTACGGTAGCTCTTAAAGCTCTCGACGAGCACTGGGCATGGCTTGTCCAATCATTTCCCAGTTTACGGTAGCTTCATGCCACTGTATCCTTGCTTTGAATAGCGAAAGTAATCGGTTTTTGTTCGTATTTGTAGTCGAACATTTAGATTACTCATCAAAGGTCGAGCTACAGTACGAAAAGCAAAACAATACGTTCTTCAATTCGCTTCAATTCAATTTTAGTGAATGAACTTTCCCGAAAAGAGTAGCAGTGAGTCAGCAAATTGAAAGGAAATTTTCAAAGTTTTCCGAGAGATTCACCGAAAATCGGAGCGCCGTTTTCAAAAAATTTCAGGCAGAATGGGGTGAAAAGATAAGGGAACGGATAAAAAATTTGGGTGAAATGAGGAGAGAAATGAGGCGAGTGGGTGACTAGGCGACAAATCGAGGTGACGTCTTTTCGATTGGAAAACGATCGGGTAAAGGAACGAAAAACACAAGAATCACAAAATTTCCAGTGACTTTCATCATTAACCCTCGGATGCGTTCACTTTTTTTTTGCATTGTCTCATTCTTTTTCATTCATTCATACGTTGACCAATCACTTATAAAGCAAAACAAAAAAAGAAGTAGCACAAGTAATAAAGAAAAGAGATAAGTGGACGAGTATCGACAATGAAAGACCGTAGACAAGAGATTATTGATCAAAAAAGTAAGTAAAAAAGTGTTTTTCTAAAAAAACAAAAAGTCTGATCGGCAATCGATTCGAACCAGGGACAAAAGGTCCGAAGAGGTAGCACGCTATCCACTAGGCTACCGATGCACACCGATTAAACACTATTCGCTGTCTCAACTGTAGGTTTAAGTAGCTTGCTTTTTGGCGAAACTGGCCGAAACTTTGAAGGCTTATATCTCGCAAACGGCTTATGGTAAGTAGGGTTTGAATGCAGTCCCGGGATTCCCTTAACCAGGGGATGTTTGCACCTCAGGATCAGATCGCTCTTAAAATCTAACTTCAAAGGGTTCCCTTCAAAATGCAAAAAGTATGATCTTGAGCCAATCCTTTCTGTTGGTTGAATGGATCGGATTCAATCCGATAGAGGCTTTTATCAAATCGAATCGATCCGACGTAATCCGAATTCGATCCACCGATGGCAAGTCTAGCTCTCACTCTTTTACAAAAAACAAAATTGCAAGACTGTAGTCCTCTTGAAATGGTTTAAAAGTTGAAGCACTCGCCCACCTAACCTTTCCAACTATCACAATAGCTTACAAACTCTTTCTATCAAATTGTTTTTGTCGCGTTTGAGTACAGACTTTATTGCATGACTAACATAAAATGACCACCGAATTTACCACATGTCGATTGACCAATAGCAAAATCACAAAGCATAAAAAAATGGAGAACAGACCAAATCTGAAAATTTAACAGGAACAAAGTCTAGAATGCATATGGCTGATTCTCGTCGTTGTGGCTTTCGTTTGGATAATCCTCATCTTCGCTGAAAAACTCGTGGATGATCTTATAGGCGAGAGAGTAGATTTTCTCGCTTTCATTCTCCTAAACAAACACATATTTGGTCGAAAATTTTGATCACATGCCTGCAACCCTTCCAAATTGTCGAGACCAGAATGTTCCTCGATCAGCTCACGCAACAGGTCCAATTGACCAGCTTCACTTAAAACAAAACATCTGTCATTGTTACTATTGTTAAGCAACTCACACAGTGCAGACATTGGTGAGAAGAGCATAGAAACTATCAAGCACGTTGACGAGGATGTCCGTGTTCCGGATTTTCAAGGCTCGACACATTGGTCCAACGGCTCCATCCGACCACAAGTGGAAAATTTGTTGAGACGTTCCACCCTAAAAAATTGTTAATTGGTTCGTCGTAGTAAAACATACCTGAGCAAGATTGGCGATTGCCCAACTAGCTTCAAACTGACATTTGAAGTCGCCAGTGTCGAGCACTTGGAAGATATGTGGAAGCAGACCGGCATCAATGACATGTTGAATTTGGTCTTGAGTACCTAAAGCAGCAATAAACGTTGAAACATGCAAAAAGCTAACCTGCAATAACATTTGAGATCAGCCAGCAACACTCCTTGACGATTGTCGTCGATTTCGAGCGCTGGATAAGATCGGAGATGAGCTGGAGAGTGCCGATGTCAATGACGTGTTGTGTGAGTTGATCATTTCCGGTAGCCATGTTCCCCAAGACGCGAAGAGCTGGAGCGGCAAGGGACTCACTCTCGGTAAGCATTGGCATCACGTATTGCAAGAGGTCTAAATTTGACCCATAGATAATTGACAAGAATAGGAAACTTACTAGCATCGACAGCCAATTGAATTTGCTCATCTGGTCCATCGGTCAAGTAGCTCACAGCCCAACAGGCGTCTTGCCGAACAGCCTTGTCCTAAACATTAAAATAATTGACCGAATTGTTTCATCAAGCAACCGTATGTTGAAGAAGGAAGCTCAACCCCTTCGCGAGTTCCCGGAGCACTTCAAGTGAAGCATTTGGGTTCTTGTGGCGGCACATGTTCGAGAAAGACCAAGCGATTGTGCGAACAAATGACACTTCAAGCCGATCCATGATGGTAGCAAGATACATGAGAGCTTGAAGACCATTATGCTCTAAATTTGACAGATTCTAAGGTGTGATTGCAAGTAACTTACGAAGCACTAAGTCTCGCATCTGACTACTGTCTCCGGCGATGTTTGCAACAGCCCAAAGGCATTGCTCAGCGAGCTGTAAATTAGGCGACACCATTAAATGGATCAATGGTGCGATGGCTCCGGCTTGAACAGCGGCCAACGTCTGACGGCTTGTGCCCGATACGATGTTGGTGATCGACCAGGCAGATTCGAATCGGACCTTGTCGTCCTAAACCAAACAAAAAACCATTTTACCGTTCCAATAATTACTTACCTCTACTCCGAGAGCTTGCACGAGCGCATTCAGAACACCATTCTCAATCGTCTCATCGATTGGCGGGGCCTTGCTCCTTGAAAGCGTACGGCGAACCTAAAACAACAAGCTTTAAAATAATTTCAACATGAAGCGAACACTCTCGAAGCAGCGTTGCATGTCTTCAACGGACGGATTGTTGGAGAGCACGGCGACAACCTGTTGAAACGACATCAGCGGCTGACGAGCTAAATAAAAAAATAGAAGTGATTAGAAGCGTTATTTCAGCTAGTCGTGGATCGCAAGTCGTACCAGCAGCAGCGGCCGCCTTTGCTTCAGTGTTGTCGGCGGAAACGTCATGGTCGGTCGTTAGCGCATCATCACTTTCGTCATCGTCGACAACTTGTCGCCTAAAAATAGAGCACTAATTATAGATTAAGCCAGAGTTTTCAACAGATATGTAAACCGATCGCCCAGTAACAATTCTTAAAATTAGGTCGATTCTTGAATTCAAGTTAATTCAAGTTATTCAAGGTAAAAAAAACGCTATTGTTATTCCAAAACCCCGTTGGTCACTAGCGTCTACACGTTTGAAATGTAACCCATAACAACCAACACCCTCACCTCTTCATCATCATGTCGTCGCGCTTCTGCTTGCGGATTTCCACCGAGCACTCCGTGCGTCGCCGTCTCATGTCCTCGTGCTTGGCCACATTCTTGTATTGCTTGAGACGTTCATCTTCTCCGCCGTGTCCAGCCACATTTCCTGTATCACCGAGAGTCATTTCTAAATCAGAACAAGATTAAAAGTCAATTGGTATCGAAAAAGGTGAAAAAAAAAACAAGTGATACTGTGTCCATGTCTAGAGGAACATGAAAAAATTACAGCTCAATGAATAAGTACTACAAAATTACAGGTCCAGAGTTTTCCCTTGAACGATTCAAAGTATTTGAAAAACAACAGCGAATTTGTACCGAAAAGTTGCAGTAAAAATGCTTACGAAATTAGGTAGTCTGAGGAAATGGTCGACTTTCAAAAATCCCCAATTTTGCAATTGGCGCGCTTTCTAGCCAGACAAAGCTACAGACTATAGGGTAAGCGAGTGGAAAAAGTCAAGATGTGGGTGAGAATACGAAAACACGAAAAAGTGAATGAAACAACTGAAAATTTGTCGATTACTCGGGAATTTGTGTCAACCTTTTTCAAATATTCAGTGCATTAGCTGAATATCTTAATGGGAGTGAATATTACTTGAAAAGCACGAAGACTTTTACTTTTACGAAGAAAAGGGACCCATTCAAATTCAAGTTAAGAGTTAAAACAAAAGGGTGGTTTTTTTTTTTTTTTTTTTTTTTTAAAAAAAATATTTTTTTTATTAATTTTTTTTAAAAAAGAATTTTTTTTTTTTTTTTTTTTTTTTTTTTTTTAAAATTTTTATAATTTTAAAAAAAAAAAATTAAAAAAAAATAAAAAAATAAAATTTAAATTTTTTTTTTTTTTTTTTTTTTTTTTTTTTTTTTTTTTTTTTTTTTTTTTTTTATAAATTTTTTTTTTTTTTTAAAAAAAAAATTTAAAATAAATATATAAAAATAAAAAAAAAAAAAAAAAAAATTTAAAAAAAAAAAAAAAAAAAAAAAAAAAAAAAAAAAAAAAAAAAAAAAAAAAAAAAAAAAAAAAAAAAAAAAAAAAAAAAAAAAAAAAAAAAAAAAAAAAAAATAAAAAAAAAAAAAAAAAAAAAAAAAAAAAAAAAAAAAAAAAAAAAAAAAAAAAAAAAAAAAAAAAAATAATTTTTTTTTTAAAAAAAAAATTTTTTTTTTTTTTTTTTTTTTTTTTTTTAAAATTTTTTATAAAAAAAAAATAAAAAATATATATATTTATTTTTTTTTTTTTTTTTTTTTTTTTTTTAAAAAAAAAAAAAAAAGAAATATTTTGAGAAAAAAAAAAAAAAAAAAAAAAAAAAAATAAAAAAAAAAAAAAAAAAAAAAAAAAAAAAAAAAAAAAAAAAAAAAAAAAAAAAAAAAAAAAAAAAAAAAAAAAAAAAAAAAAAAAAAAAAAAAAAAAAAAAAAAAAAAAAAAAAAAAAAAAAAAAAAAAAAAAAAAAAAAAAAAAAAAAAAAAAAAAAAAAAAAAAAAAAAAAAAAAGAAGGGAGAAAAAAAAAAAAAGAAAAGAAAGTAAAAAAACCGAGAATTTTAGTGTTTTTAACTTTTTTACAAAGAAAACTTACTATTACGTACCGGATCGATTAGCAAAGAAAAATACAAATAAAAAAAATCGATTTCTTAACCTGTAAAAATGTTCTTTGGGTTTATTTTTCACCTTGATGAGTTTTGAGATGTATTTTGTTGAGAAACATAATGAGAAACTTTTATTCACCCATTAAATAATAAGTTATTCAATAAATAATTTTGAAAGGCGCGTTTTTAAAGGACAAGTTGTCGGACGGCGCTCTTGAACTGATTGTGGAGGTCGGAGAAGAAGTGGCCGGGGCTGGAAAGGGATGTGTAAATGGATAACTTTGGATAATTAGCTATTGAATAACAGATATCCAATTGGATAGTTGGTTACCTGAATTTCTTGAGCTTGGCGATAAGGGGGTGGGTGGTTTGGGAGCGCAGAGCGGGTGAGACCTCGAGCGCTGGGGTGGTGATCTCTTCTAGGAATTTGAGTTCAAACAGTTTTAAGTTATTGATACTGACAGAATTTGGATAAAGGCTTTTTTAAAATCTAAAACATAAAATTCATATCCAAATTTACCAGATGAGGTCTCGAAATCAATGGCACCGATCTCGGGTTGTGGCTTGTTCTCGTTCTCGATCTTGTTCAAGTGAGCGATACGAAGGTTTTGAAGAGATCTGGGGGATTTGAATATTAGAAAACTTATAGTTTATGAGGTTTTAGACAGTACAGAAACAGATACAGTACACTTTTGAGTAGATACATGACGCCTTTTAGTGGATACAAGTTGTTATCGGCTGGACTACATGCCAGTGCTCATTTTCCTGGCTTTCTACCTTCTCTTGCGTCCTCCACATCCGCAACATCCGCATCCACAGCATCCACAGCAACATGGCCGGCAACAGCAGCTGGAAATCGGTTTTGAATATTTACTTTTTGAGACTGATTGATTGAACTGACTGATTGAATAAGATTCTATAATGGTTTTTAATGTTCGAGCTAGATTTCTCATTGTCTAACCCTTACCATTTGCAGCATCGGCAGCAGGTACAGCATTGGCAACACTTACAGCACTTGCAACAGCAGCAGCATCTAGAAAATTTTAATATAAAATCTTTCTCATCAATTTTCTAGATCAAAGTTTTTTAAAAAGAGAACTCACGGCTTGCAGCAACAGCAGCACCTAAAAATTGGTTTGTTAATTGAAAAACGAACTGTAAAAATTGTAAACTTGTAAACTGTAAACTTACGGTTTGCAGCAACAGCAACACCTAAATATTTCTATTTTTCAGAATTTTTTTTGCTAACTCACGGTCTACAACAGCAACACCCGCATCCGCAGCAACCGCAACCGCTTCTTTTCACTCGAACGCCGGTGGAATCAGTTTCGGTGAGGGTATCGATCTGGGATTTTGGATATTAGAGATAGATATATAGTATTGTTTTTGTAATTATTTTTAAAGCACTCACTTCAGTGGAATTCGATGAGATTTGAATGAGTTGAGTGGTCGCCTCGCTTACCGTAACCAGGGCACCGTCTTCGGGCTTTGCAACGGGTACTCCCTGAAAACTCATGATATTTTAAATATACTGTAGCTATTTCTTAGCTTATCTATTTTTAAAAATTAAAAAATAAAAAATTAAAAAATTAAAAAATAAAAAATAAAAAAAAAAAAATTAAAATTAAAATTAAAAATTAAAAAAATGCTTTTTAACAAACCTTGCACTTGCAGATGAAAATGACGGCAAAGAGAGCGCTGGAGACGAGGAAACGAGTGGAGAACATGCTAAAAGAAAATGTCAAAAGCTTACGGTAGTTTGAAAGTAAGTTATCAGAACATGGAGGTCAAACTTTAACTTTTTAGCTTTAACTAAAAGCCAATTGACTACTGAATCAATAAAGATACGGTAGCAAATGCTGTTAATAGAGTTTACAAGATTCAACCTATTCCTTAGTACATTGCTACTAAGATACTTAAAACTTGCTGAATGAACTGCTTGATGAGATGCCATTGGTCAATGCCTTTATATATGGTAGACTCATGAGAAAGTTGTGGTTTCTCTTCTTGGTCCATCTGAAATGACAGCTCCGAGGTGTCATCTCTTTGCTTGACTCTCTTCGCGGATGGGTCGTGCTTTTGGAAGAAGGAATTGGAAAGAGAAAATGCAGAGATATTGACGGGGTTACATCACTGAGATCTGTCATTGCAAGAGGTATTGGGATGGTCTAGTAGAGTTTTCCGCTTGATCAAAGTTCGGACCCGGGTAGTTACCGTAACTAATTTTTGCTAGCGCTAGCTGGTCTCAAATGTCATTGCAAGTTAGCTTATTGAGTGTTTCAATGTTTAGTTCTTCTTTACCGTTTTTTGCGGAGAATGATTGTCAAGGGTGAGGGGAATGGACAATACAGGACCTTGTAAGGTTTGGTTCTAAATGCTCAACTAATTTCAATCTAGATTCAATCAAATGTGCGAAAAATGGTGGAGACGAAAAATGAGAGGGAGATCCTCTCGTACGCTTTCGTCTTTCTTCTGCAGGGATTCTGGATTTGTTAAGTTTGTTCATTCAATTTTGTTTGTTCGGCCTTTTGGCTTGCCCTAGCAAGCCAAAAGGTTTAGCGCAAAATTAGACTATGAGTCAAAAGCTCAAAAAATATTTTCTTCAATTTGTACCAGTCATTTTCTCTAGGTGGCTCTAATTTTGTCATTGAAAAGTGCCTTAATAGTATAGCTTGGGCTTCATATAGTGAAGTACACTGTAGAAGCGCGCACTTTAAAACCCCAAAACTCAGCTTAAAGCGCCTTTTCCCAAGCCCTCGTTGTGTTTTTCGGAATCCACGCATAAAGCTACCTCAGACAAAGTGGTTTTGAAGAAAAAAAATGCTCCTCCTAACCGGCGTAGCACCATAAATGAAATAATTTTTAAAAAAGGCATAGAGATCATTGGGATTTTGGGATCACACGGCACTCGATGAGAAGCATACGGTTAGTTTTAACGAGTAGAGATCTATTGCCGATATTTATTCATGTTTTCTACAATTCGAATATTTCCGGGTCATTTTCTTCGTTGTCCAAAGACATCGACATCGACGATTTTCAAAGTGCACCGCAGAGAGACACGCTTTTTGTTTTTCTTTCGCATCAGCTGATTTGTTATTCCACTGATTTAGATCTAAATTCAACATGTCTTTTGTTTTCCTTGAAATTTCGAAACAAAAAAAATTGTTCGGAGATTCACAAGAACTCCACCGAAATGAGGCCACTTTCTGATTCTCTGAACAGAAGAGAAATCGAAAAAGGGTTGATTTTCACATCTTTTCTTTTCTTTCACATCTTTTCTTTTACATCTTTTTCTTTCTTTCACACCGAAAAGAACCCTCTTCAACCTCGGAAATCCTCTTTTAAAATCGAAGAAGGCGCTTATTTTGCCCAGTGTCTCTTCCAAAACCTCTATATTTTTTACGAATCTATGGACCTCTCAGAAAAGTGTGCTATTTCGTGGGACATTGCCTTGAATTGAACCATGTCTATGAGCTTCTGTTCCACCTCAAGCACCTCATTTTCTTGACTCTATTTGTGTCTCACTTGTCTCTTCGTAACCTCTAATGCTTGCTCTCTTTTTAGCTTCTCTTCCTATATTCTCAATCACATCATTTCTCTGCATTCACTCCTTTCCCATCTTTATTCTCTTCTAACTATTCAATTCTTCATCTTCTCTACATACTTATGTTTCTTTCTAGTCTATTCTTATCCTTCATCTTCTCTACAAACCCATTTCTCCACATCTTTCCCCATCATCCATCTCCCCTTTCTCCACTCTATTCCTCGTCCTCATTCTTCCCCTCCCTTCTCCCCTCCTTCCCCCAACCCTCCTCCCCTCCATTTCTCCATTTTCCTCCTCAGCAACGCTTCAGAGTTTCCCCTTTCCCCACGTCCACTCGTCAAAATGACTCAATTCTACTCAATGCGCGTTCTTCGAACCCCGCTCACCTCAAAAATTCCTGTTTTACATAGCAATGCATGCAGGCATCGATTTTTGTCCTCCACAAATTTTCCCATATAAAATTTCTAACAATTAGATTCGTTTTTAGGCTTTAGCCAGGCGATTTTTTTTTTGAAAATTTTCATACAAGCTTTTAACCTTTCACGAACTCTGCAAATCTTCCAGAAATTTTAAATCTTGCATATGAAATTTTTTTGGGGGAGGGGGTATGCAAGACATTCGTTTGCGTTCAAAGTAGACTCCAACTTTTATTTTCTCACCAACTGAAACAATGAATCGGCTGATTTTCACGCTATCAAAACCGTCGCAAAAGGCAAGGTTTCGTCACCATTTCGGGTATAAATAGACTGTGATTCAAATTTTGATAACCATTTCCTTTCTGGATTTAATATTGTTCTCCGCATTTTCTATTCTACAATGGAACTATCGAATATTTTGCAGCGGCGGCTCCTCATCTCGACCGATCAACGACAGCAAAATCGTCGCATTGACATGTCCAACACGATCGCCCCAGCGGCTGCCAAAGAGACGGAAAAGGTTTGCTTTTTAATTATTTAAGGCTTTAGTTTTCGCTGGTTTACCTAACTTTAATTTTGCACTGTTACTTGTTTGAGTCATAAATGGTTAAGATTAGGCAAGAAAGTCGAATGAAACTTTATTTTAGTGCCAAATTTGTTCCCTTTGTGAAAAGTTAGATAAGTTTTGCATAGTTTTTTTTGCCAAAACATTTTAAAGGATTAGTTGGTTTTTCTGAAATCATTTTTGAGGGATTACGTCAATAAGTGTTTGCTGACGCTGATTTAGCCTTTCAAGCAGAAAATTTGAACTAAATTGGACTGCAATGTTATCTCTAATTATAATTTTGTTTTGTTTTAGGAGTTGATCAAGAACGGACACGATGACGAAGACGGATGCCACAAATCGGCGAAGAGAGCCCGACTGAGGGAATGGCAACCACCGGTTAGAGAATGTTATGTTGAAGGTTTGTTGTGTGAAATTAGATGTTGCTAAAGCTTGACAGTTAACGTAAAATTTAATTAGTGATGTTGCATTTTAGCTTTAGAATGTTAGAAAGCAAAGATTTGTCTAGCTGATAGCCTAGATGTTATAGTTTTGAATAAACATGAGCTTACTGAAGCTTATTAATAAAATTATAGCTGAAACTGATTGATCTCACTTTAGGCTCAAAGACGCTGGTGATCCTTTTTGGTTGGGCCGGTTGCCGAGACAGATATCTGAAGAAATACGCCGACTACTACCAAGCCTCTGGGTGAGTTTTTGATGTTTCTTAGCTGTTTTAAAACTTGTTAACTATTCAATTGGTCTATTTATTGTACTTCAGAATCTCAACCGTTCGTTTTACGGCGCCTATCTCTCACATTCGACACATCACCGACTATCAACCATTAGCACAACGAGTTTGTCGTTAAATTTTGTCACAAAACATTTGTTGTTTAGGTATTTGACACGGTTTTCGGAAAAGAGGGTGATAATTGGGCTCACGATGTTTACTTTCATGTTTTCAGGTAAAGTAGCTTTTTGCACATTATGAATGCAATAAATTTTAGTATGAATGGTTGTGCGACGTTTTGCGCTTTCTGGGATGGTTTGCATGGGAAACATTTTGAGGAATCGTTGAAGAAACGTGTGAAGGGAATCATTTTTGATAGGTACGCCTTTTCAAAGCTAAATTAAAAGATGCGCCGTACCTTAAAAAGCAAAACTAATGAAGTTCTAAAAGTAATTTCATATTCGAGTTGATTGAATTGACAAAGTTTGTATTTTTAAAATTTCTTTAGTTGCCCAGCCAACGTTTCTGCAAATCAATCCGCTCGTGCCATTTCTTTTGCCGCTTTTCCACCGTCTGCTCATCCTGCACCTATTCGAGAATCTGTCAAGGCACTTCTTTTTACATACTTCTCGGTGCAAAGGTAAAAAAAATAATATTTCCATACACTGTTTCGTCTTTAGAATGATCTTTTGGGTGCGTTCAATTTGGGAAGAGGGCGTTTATGAGAGGAATTTTGCGTTCTTCCGAATGTTGGCTATCAATGATCTTCCGCAGAGGTGAGTATTATAACTAAGATTATCCATTGATATTCATTTTTAGGCAATTGTACTTGTATGGACCGGGAGACGATATTTGCTCACTGCACTCGATCGAGAAATTTGCCGAAGTTCAACGATCTCTTGAGAAAGAGGTATGAAAAAAGGAAATTTTGATGTACCCTAGCCCCGATCACTAAAACTAGAAAGTTATTGTTCTAATTCAGGTCGTCCTACACTGTCTACCCGATTCGGCTCATTGTCAACACATGCGCAAACATCAAAAAGAATATCAACGCCACTGTCTCCAATTCATCGACCCAAATTGGGATGTGAACGGGAATTCGGTGGGAAGTGAGAAGTCGGCATCGTGTTCGTCATTGGAACAACAACCCGAGATCCAAGTCACTATTTAGATGTGTCTACCTAGGTTTTTTCGATCGTTTAATTGTGTGATTTTTCGCCCGTTACAATTCAACTACATCTTTATGCAAAGGTGCAAGGCACGTTTTCTAGATACGTGTAGTGTTTTCGTTTCCTTTTGATGTTGATCACCGGTTATTTTTTAGGTACTCTATTATTTATGTGTTGAAAATTGTTTTTCGCAACATTCCATTGTATTTTTCTTTTTCTCCCATCTTTGCTCCTTTTTAGATCTCCTTCGAATTTTAAACTTGCATAATTTTCGTTTAGTCTACTTTTTGCATTGACTAGTCCCAGTGATTGTGATCCGTTGTGTTCTCTCGTTTCTACGTTTTTGGAGCTTTAATTATTCTTTTTTGATGAGTTACAATAAATCTCGGTGATGTTAAAGATTGCGAAAACTAATACAAAAAGGATCTATTTTGTTAGTTAGGTGAATGATATCGAGAACAACGACAAAATGACTAACTATTAGGCCCTTTGCCCGCATGTATCGAGTTACAAATATTACATTGTCCGAAAAGAAGCGTCTAAATGAAACGTGCGGACTGTATGAGAAAGACAATGGCTTAATACATAAATAGCTGCTTTATTCACAGGAAAGTCGTTTTAAAGGGATTGCGTGGCATTCCGATAGCTTACAAAATCCACTTTGAGGGCAATGAGGCAATCGCTCAATTTTTGCATTTTGCTGAAAAAAATTTCATTTTCTCATTTGCTGTAGTGTCGTTTGGCGGTTGATTTCCCATCTTTAAAGAGTAAATCTTACCAATTTTAAACGACCATGAAACTTGCACCAGCCATTATGGACTCGTAAATTAGTAAAAGAGAAAAACTTTTGCACTTATTGTTCAGGCAACTTCCACTATTGGTTTATGGATTTAGGAAATTACATTACTTTTTTGCATAAACGACACTCATCTCCTTCAGCCTCTTCTAACACTTTCCTCTTTCTTCCTATTCTTGTTTGTCATTAATCTTTTCTGTTTAGAAATCAAGAATCGGTAATCTTGGAGAAGATCAACGATGTCTCGAAACATCATTCAAAAGCCGGATACAGCAATGAAACGCGCTGATGAGCTGATCGCTGTTGGGAAGGAACAAGCAGCTCTCGATGTTCTTCATGACACAATAAAGGTACGTTTTACATTTATAGTTCTTTTTAGCTTTGACAAAAATAATAGTTAAGTTGTAATACGTGTTTGCTGGTACAAAATATTCAATTTTTAGGCACGACGGCCAAAGATTTGGTCGCAAACCTACGAGGAAATGATGCGGAAGCATCTTGAACTGTGCACCAGCCTTCGAAAGCCGCATATAGCAAAGGATGCACTCTTTCAATTTAAAGCCATGACTCAGCAGGTAAATTTCTTTTTTGTCCATTTTTGTAATTCTTTATCTAGACTGCAGTCAGCTCGCTCGAGAAGGTGATCAACCACTACTTGTTTGTGGCTGAGCAACGAGTAGAGGAGGCTCAAAAGATGTCAATCGATAAAGCCGGCGAAATCGACGATCTCGATCAGGGCGAAACTCCAGAACAGTGTGTCTATTTGTCATTGTAAAAGCTATTATATGTTCTATGAACTGAATCAAGCTGTCGTTGAGTTGAGTAATCTTATAGTGAGCTTGAAATCCTCAAGTTCTATCGAAAATGTTTTCGAAATCGATCAATTCGATTTACAGTTTACTGATGGCAGTAGTCTCAGCAGCAGCTACTCAAGACCGAATGGATCGAGCCGTGTTGGCACCTTGGCTTCGCTTCTTGTGGGACAGCTTCAGGAATTGTCTCGAGTTGCTTCGAAATAACTGCCAGGTTGAATTTTGGGTTCAATGATCAATAGTTAATTTTATGTGGAAAGCATCTATCACAATGTGGTGACCCATGCAATGACTTTTTGTCAAAAATTCGAACGTCGTGCTGAGTTTCGAAAGCTAACTGAGATTTTGCGCCTTCATCTTGCTCAAATCCAAAGACATCAACACTTACAACATGCGTAAGTGCCGTATTTTGAGGAGTTTTGACAGAAGCGATTATAGGGTCAAACTTTCGGCGCCGGAATCGCTCATAATGATGCAAGAGACACGTCTTTTACAACTTGATACGGCGATTCGAATGGAACTCTGGCAAGAGGCGTACAAGTAAATAGTAGTTTTTGATCACTTTAATACTGTTCTGCTTTAGATCAGCAGAAGATGCGCATGGAATTATGCAGCTTTCAAAAGACAAGGATCGACGTATTGTGAAACCAAGCAGCTACGTGAATTATTATGAGAAAGTTTGTAGCTTTTGCTTTCTGCTGCATCTGTTTTTTACAGCTGGCGCTGATTTACTGGAAAGCGGACAATCAATTGTTTCATGCTGCGGCCTTACTACAGAAGTTCGTGATCCACAAGGATATGAAACGGACGTTCGCCTATGAAGATGCTCAAGAACAAGCCACCAGGGTGCTCCTTGCTGCTCTATCAATTCCCGAAGGAGCTGCTTTGCCAAGTGATCTTACTCGAATGCTTGACATTGAAACACAACATGGAGCCAACGTTCGGTAAGCTTAAACCAGTTAATGTGATGGTTATCCTGGTCTAATATAATTTTTGTTTAATCCAATTAATTTTAGAGTACTGACTAACCTGCTAAGGCTACCAATTACTCCGACTCGAGATGGAATTCTTCGAGAAGCGGCTCGACAAGGAATTTTTGAATTGGCCAGCAACGAGGCTCAAGCCCTTTACAAACTGATGGAGGAGAGTTTCAAGCCGAATTTTCTCGTGAAGCTTGCTGAAGTGGAGTTGGGTAGAATCGTCGAAAAGAAATGCCATGATCAATATGTTGAATCGCTCCGAAGCGCTTTTGCCACCAAAGCTTTAAGTCAGGTGCCTTTTATTGCTTGTACTCTGTACATGGTTGGCTTTAGATTTCCCTCATTTATGAGTCTGTGTCGTGGACTCGCCTGCGTGCCGTGCTTCCATACTTTAATGATTTGCAACTTGAATATTTTTTGGCGGATGCAGGAAAGCGGCGTTTCATCAAGGTATAGAAATTTGAAGGGAAATACATAAACAGAAATCTAGGCAAACATTGATCATCAAGCGAATTGCGTCAAGTTTGGAAGTTATGATGAGGCGACTTTGGCTGAGAATGTCGATCTGGAAGACGCTCGTGGTTTTACTGGGGACAGCACACAAGTAATTAAAGTCTTTTTTAAGAGCGTGGTTTCTTATAGCTCGGCATTGATGGTGTTCGTTCTCATCTACAATTGATGCATCACAAGTTGCAAAAGATGGTCGAGCATCTGGACGGTGAGGAACGACGAGTAAAGATTGTCGGCCAAATCAAGAAATGCGCGGGTGTCTACCTTATGCATAAAAGCGGCGACTATGAAAGGATTCAACAACGAAAGTAACAGTTTTGATATTAAGATGATTTGAAATCATTTTAGACGCAAGATCGAGATGTATAAAGTGGAAAGGGAGAAAAGGGCGAAACTAATTCTCGAGCAAGTGCTCACTGAGCGCAACACTTTTGAGGAACAGAAGCGCGCTGAAGAGCAAATACATTTGGTCAAGTTAGGCAAGGAACACGAGCTTTTGCGTCAAAAGGTTTGGTAAAAGTCACGTGTCTTAAAGTAAAAATTTAGAATGCAAAACGAGAGGTTGAAGACAAAATTCGTGCGGACAAGATGCAAAGGCTGCGTTCTAGCGTGATGTATCAAGAGATTCTCAAGGAGTACACTGAAGAACAATTGTTGTTGATTGATCCTGAAGAGATTGTTTGCGAGCAGGTTGCGATGCTTTTAAAAAGTCAATTCATTCGACTTTTAGAGGGAACGAATTGATCAACAACGACAGAAACAACAACAACGGTTGCAACAACAGTGGAAGAACTTTGATCATATGGTGTGTGTTAAAAGTTTTTTTTATGATAAAGTTGATTAGGCTCGTTCTTTCCATCTTGAAGACGCAAAAGAGTATCGAGCTGTGGAGGAAGTAAGGCGCACTAGAATGCCAAAATTGTTTGATGGTTATGAGGAACGTCGTGTTGCCGCCGCTATGTGGGTGTTTTTGCATAGTGTTCGTGCATTGTTCGATTTTAGAGCCGATCACGAAAACGCCGTTAAGTTCTGGACTCAATCACAGATGATTGCTGAAGATGCAAATGATTGGGCTTGTTCAGTGAAAGATGGCCATGCCGAGGATTTCAAGACAAAGGTACAATAAATAACCTTTATGACACTCAACTGTTTACAGATGATGGAGTATCGTGAAAAGTTGGAAGCTGTTCGCAACGATCGTCTTGCGGCACGTGCAGCTAAAAGGCGTCTCGCACGCGTGCAAGAATGGGAAGATGTGAGCTTTTAAGTTTCGATTTGTAATTGTTTGCTATTAGAAAAAAGCTGAAGCTGAGAAGGCACGTCTAAAGGCTGAAGAGGAGGCAAGGAAAAAGAAATACGAAGATGAATGCAGGGAACGGCGTGAACAACGCATGGTTTGGACATTTTGCTCATTATTCAAGCAACTAAATTTAGCAAGAGCGTCAACAAGCAATGACCGACACTTCACGAGCTATGGCTGATAGCAATTGGAGAGGACCCGCTCAGCGTCCAACCCCTCGACCAGAAATGGTCCGAAAGGAATGTTTTGATACACAACGACAGGTTGTTTATTAGTATTTAAAATCTCTAAAAGTGTTTTTAGGGGCCTTCTGAAGCTGATAAGGCGGAAACATGGCGCACTAAGCCCGATGCTCCAACTCATCATGCCATACCTGTAGCTCGTTCTGATGCCGAGAAGATGGGGTCGTGGCGCGATGGTCTCAAGCCGGCTCCAACTCATGGTCAATCTGTATCTCGTTCAACAGTTTCCGAGGCTGATAAGGGTGCATGGTCTCGCCAAAAGCCGCATTTGTCTAGTTCCACTTCTGATGCAAAGTCGTCCGCTGCAGATGCTGCTGCTTCCTGGCGCAAACCAATTGCTATTCTGAAGCGTGGTGATTCTGTGAGTGTTTTTTGTTCTTGTCATCAAGACATTAATTTAGGTTAACACACATTCTGACTCAAAGGAACAAGCTCAAGGCGGAAACAACCCCGTAGATGCCACTGAGAACAAGTAATTTTAATTTGCTGCAGTTTATGAATCTTGTTCAGAGACCGAGAGTTTGGAAAGAAAGATGAGAATGCTGCACCTTCTGGGAAATATGTTGCTCCGGGAATGAAGTACTAAAACTGCTAGTTGTTTCACATAGTTGTTTTAGGGAAAAACTTCCTCAGCTTTCTATCTTGGCTGAAAAAACGAACAAACCAATTGATGCAAAAGATGAAGAGGAAGAAGAGGAAGGAAACGACTGGAACGTCGTTGGCGGAAATAAGAAAAAAACTAATATACTCGCTAAGGTAGATTTTACATTGAGTATTTTTGGAATTCAATTAACCGTTGTCAGATAAAACTTGCTTTAGTCTTCACAGCCTGCATCGGGATCGGGTAGTGTTCATAAAACGGTTCCTCGTCAGAATTTCAATCGTGGTCCTTGGTGAAAAATTATTATTTTCTTGTGTTGTTTTGTGATACTTTTTGTAGTGTTTTTGATTTTCGTTTTTTATAGTGTTACGTTGGGCTCAATAAAAATTTTTGTAAGTTTAGTTTTTTGGCTCGCTAGTTTTTGTTCGGAGTGAAATGGCTGCATGTCTATCGTAAGATGAAGTTTACCGTTCTTTGTTTTACCTAAAAGTATATTTTATGAGAATTTTATGGAATTATCAGTCAAGATGGATATTTAAACCTCTGAACTGACCAGGAGAACGAGAACATTCTCTCTTTAATAGTTTACCTTTAGTAGCAATTGGGTTTCACTGTATTTGCACATTTCCTCTAGGTATGGATCACGGAGATGAGGAGATGTTTGTCGATTGTGCATCTGAATCGCCGCAAGCTCCTGTAGCAACCACCCAGTCACATCGAAAGGATCGAAAAGCAAAGAAGATTGCTTCACAAAATTTGGAATTGATGAGTTGGGCGAATTGGCTGGCGTTTAATGCTCGTTTATTTAGATAACTTCTACGAGAGTGATGGGATGAGCGAAAACGATTACAGCTTTGTGGTTCAAGATGAAAACGATGCACGTCATGAGACAAAACGGCTTGCTGAAAGAAAGCGACTGTTGATTTGTAGGAAGTTGGGCGTCAAGAAGCTGGGAGATTTGGTTGAATCCAAAAGCTTAACAAAAATGGTTTGTTTTTGGCCTAAAAGTAAATTAAAGTTTTTGGATAGTTTACCTTGTCGGTATAATTAAGCTTAAATTATTACTATTATACTATAATTTCAATTTTAGGCTAAGGAATTACCGATTCCTGACGACCCTTCTGCTGTAAAACAAGAAGTGCTAGATGGAACGCGGGGAATACCAACCAAAGAGGTAATTTCACTTGTTTTATTGTCATTTTGGCTTTCAGAAGGTTGGCTATCGATGCGTCCCGTATGAAACTGCAAGCACTGCTGAACTGGCATGTCTACGGGTATCTTTGCTAAAAATACCTTGAGTTCTTCAAATTATAGATCGATCTTGCAAGCGTTGATGCCGACTTGAGGTACCTGGAAAACTTTCTTGAAGAATACCCGAAAAAAGTTAGTTAGTTCTTGTTTTCGGTTTATAGAAAGATTTTTTAGAGCATGAACCAGCTACAAGAATGCAAAAGTGCTGCTTTTTCCAAAGCACATCAAAAACTTGCGATGTCGACGGAGGAAGATGTGCTAAAGGAAGAGCTAATGCTGCTACCAAAAGATTTATCGAGCATCTTGAAGAATGAAACTTTGAATGCGTGCAAAGATGAAGAATTGAAAGATTTTGGAATCATCAAGCCGATGATGGGTAAGACCTACAAGACTTGTTTTCGGTTCATAAAAATATCTATTAGATAAAGCGCCATCAGCTGTCATTTCTCCACCATTCATGTCACCGAGATCAGAGTTGACTTCACCAGCTTTCATGTCGCCCAGGTCGCAGTTTCTATCTCCTTCACAGTCGGAAATGTCACGCCAGCAAACTCATTCGGAACTCCGCTCAGCTTCAAGGATCACATCGCCAAAATCGTCGGAGTTTATGTCTGCTTCAAGCGAAGCTCACTTGGTATAACATTTTGTTTTTTAAAACTGTTAGTGTATCTATTTTAGACTCAAGACAAAGATTAAATAACCACAAAGGAAAATAACTAACACTTGTTGTTTTTGAAGAATTTATTTGTTTTGTCAATAAATGTTAACCATTGATCAATGTTTCACACAATGATTATTGACCTTTCGAATTAAGAATCGAAGTGAACAAACGTAGAAGGTGGTGGGGATGGGTGGGTGGCTGGCTACTTTGCGCAACTCACCATAACTTTCTTCTGAGTATCCTTATGATTTTGGTGTCATTTTGTAGATCTCAAAAAGTACAACAAAATCACATCATGTTGCACTTGTTGAGATCTACAAAATGACACCAAAATCATAAAGATTGACCTACTTAGAAGAAAGTTATGGCGAGTTGCGCAAAAAATTTGGCGCAAAGTAGTCCCCCCGTAAAAGGGACTTTGGGGGTTTTATTTTCCTCTAAAGCCCTTTGAATGTTATAATTTTTCATCTGCAAGAAATCATTTTTACAATTACCGTATTTCTTCGAATAGAAGACCGGGTAAAGAGTATCATCGTGTACTCCTGCGTAGCAGCCCTTTTTAAAATTTCTTTTCTGCATAAAAGCTTTCAATGAAGTGCTATAGAGCTGGAAAATGGCTCAAAAATACCACATGAGCTAACAGATTTTTGAGCCATTTTCCAGCCCTATAGCACTTGATTGAAAGCTTTTATGCAGAAAAGAAATTTTAAAAAGGGCTGCTACGCAGGAGTACGCGATGATACTCTTTACCCGGTCTTCTATTCGAAGAAATACGGTGATAACGTTGAAAATTGACGATCTCGTCCAGGCGAAACTCCAGAAGAGTGTGTTTATAATATTTGTCATTGTAGAAGAAAGAATTTGAATGTTGTAAATTTACATTTGTTTTAAGAAAGTAAAGAAAAATTTGCTAGAAAGAAGCATTCTCAATGTCGACCTTTGATGAGCACATCGCTTTCGCCACAAAATTGGTATTTTGCATTTCACTTCTGTTTTTTAACGCTTCGTGTTTTTGGTTCTAATTCTCGTTTCGAATAACTAATTTTAGCCTGATTCCCCCAAATGGGAGAAATTCGTGGAGGCCGACGAGAAGGCTGCAGCTCATTCGCAAACGCGTCGGAAATATGGTCCATCTTTTATCCTTTTCTATCATAGTTCACTATATACATTTCGAGTGTCCCCCCCCCTGTGTCCCCCTTTTGCCCCCCTAAAGTGTCCCCCTTTTGTCCCCCTAAAGTGTCCCCCCTAGTATCCCCCTATTTTTTTTCATATCAAATCACAACTTTTTGCTCTCCAAATGTGCTTTAACTTTTTAAACTCAATGATCGGCAAATGCATCGAACTCGAAACATCTTAAATGGAAAAATTTAAAAAGTTAAAGCACATTTGGAAAGCAAAAAGTTGTGATTTGATATGAAAAAAAATAGGGGGATACTAGGGGGGACAAAAAGGGGACACTTTGAGGGGGACACTTAGGGGGGCAAAAGGGGGACACTCGAAATGTATAGTTCACTATTCATTTAATTTCAGCCCTAAACGCTTTAATCTCCGTATCTGCCTTCACTTCGGTGGGCCTTGTCGTTGGCGAACGATGTGTGGAGCATGGGATTTGTGAGCGTTTCTCATGGATTTGTTCAACTGTCTATATTTAGTGATCTTTCTACCGTCATTTGTCTTCTGGTACTTGCTATTCATGGTGACGGTGGCTTCATGTGAAGTGGGAATCGGGGAAAGCAATCCAAATCAACATCATCATAAGATTTTCAATGACATCTCGAAGATCACTTCCGGTAAGCTGCTCATATTGTTTGGGATGAATTTCGCTGTATTTAGGCCTCGGCTCTCTACTGTCATGCGGATTCTTCCTTCGTTTTACCGAGTTCTTTCTGCGAAATGCGTTGGCTGTTAGTGCTGGGATTCACATTTTAATAGGTACTGATCTATTTTAATAACTGTACAATATCCTTATCATTTTAGCTCTAACATCTTTTTTAGAAAATGCTTCACCACGAACCCTCTGCTTGGAAGAAAACGATTGCTTCGCGTTGAGGTAAACAATGATCATTATTTTCTATCACAAAGTCCTTTAGTTCACAAAAAAATTGCTCATCAAGGGAGTATGGTTATCAACCGTCAACGGAATGTCGAAAACTTGCCATACTCTCGCTTCTTGTTCCACCAACTCTTCGATTAACTCAAATGATGACAACGATTGATGAAAATCTTTTTACGGTAGATAAGGGTTTCATGTTCAGCGATGACTTTATTTAGAATTTTAGAACCCGATTCCTTCGTGGGTTGTGATGGTTGCCGTGGTATTGGCCTGTTTGATGGGAGCCGCGCTGCGCCCTTTGATTGTTCGCTGCCCGAAATTCTTCTTTATGCTGTCATTTTTACTGCAGATCGTCTTCGGAGCTCTTCTCTTTACCTTGGGTACTACATTTTCGGTAAATTCAAACTGATCTGTTTAGCTTTTCTTCTCGATTCTTGGCCAGAAGTTTCATTTAAAGGGGATTTTCGCTTCTTGAGATTTTGCTTTGACGGAATTGCCATGGCTTCATCTGCTTTATGGTTTGTTTTCTTTAATATTTTTAAAAATTACTTTTTCGGCTTGGAAGTGGTTTACTCGTTGAGTTTGGAACAGTAATGCCTACGGGAGGGTATGCAAAATTGAAAGTTCGTAACTAACTACCCTAATCTAATTCTGAAACTTTAGGGCTTCTTCATGGCCTTGGTTTCACTTTTTTATACGCTAGTGGTCGCCATTTTCTCAGCAATTGGTTATTTAGCAGAAGCACGTGAGTGACATTTTGTTGTTTGCCTCAAAATATTCGCGACTTTAGAATCGGTGGGAAATAGTCATGTGGATCCTGTGATTGTTTGGCCTATTTGGTTCGTGCTTTCTGATGCAATAAATGAATAAATATTTAGGACGAAACACAGGTCACACGGAGATTTTGTTGTCGTTGCCACTTTGCTTTTATTTCTTCTCGGATCGTTAAGTGCGGTGAGTTTGTTAGAGTCGTAAATAATGTTTTTTTAATTTAAAAAATCTTTTCTTGATTACTTTAAACGACAAACCATACGAACTTTTAAAAATGTTTGAGAAAATAGTCACAAGCACTCATATTTGTTTTTAGACGACTCTCCTTTCGTTTTATCCACTCACCGGAGTCAATAAACCGTCGTCGTGGAAATTTTACGTGAAATTGCTTCCAGTGGGACTCGTCATTGCAATTGTTGGCTTAGGTATGATATTTTGCATATAAATTTAAGCCATTAATGGCCTTTTTGGATTTACTAAAGTTGCTCAGGCATAAATATTTCATCAATTTCCAGGAGGTGTCCGTGCTACGAGAGTTGTCGAGCGATCGGCCGATTTTGTTACCGCAGTTGCTATTCAACTGCAGCTAATCATTTTGTTGATTGCACGGGCGACCGGCGGGAGAATATTCAACAAGTTGCTTTTTGGTTTACTCTAATCTTTGAGTTTCCTCGGTTTTAGACAAATCACAGAGGGATCGAATGTGTTCGGGAATAAAAGAGGATGGAGGCAGGCGCTCGTCCCATTTAATCTCTTCATCAGTTTTCTCTTGGCGCTGGTAAGTTTATTGGAGTTAATCGTAGTCATTTCTCAGTATGGATGATGTAAATAATTATCAGAATTAGTATCAGAATAAATCCTATGCTAACATTTCAAATTTAGTTGATCTTCTTGTCCGCGGTGTATCGAGTGGTTGAGCCAGTACCGCCTGGATTATGGCAAAAGACTTTGGATCCAGTTGGATCGCATTATGTGGCCGAGGTTCTGCTTCATCTTCTTCCTGTGATGTAAGTATTTCAGTCTACAATTGATTAAAACTAAAATCGAGAAACTTTTTTCTTTAGACTATTCTGCTTTGTGACGGTGATTCGAGTGTTGTTGCTGAGCAAGAATTGGGGACACAGATCGACAAAGCTTAATTTGGACACTGTTGTTTCCGATTACTGTTAAGTTTTGCCTGCATTGAGTGTGTGATTACGTATTTAAATGATATTACGAGAATAAACTTTACAATTGTCTGATTGAGCCAGGGAAAAGGTTTGAGAATAAATCTAAATCTTTGAAATCATTTGAGCCAAACTTTTTCATTCATTTTTAGCTATACGGCAAAATGCGAGTGCTAAACTTTTTGGCAAGTTGTAGGGGCATTGAAATTTTGCTTTTTTGATTTCGCACACTAACAAAGCATGGTTTGTTGAAAAAAAGCAAATACGATCGGCTTTTTTGTGCTCCCGAAAAAAGTTGAGGGTGGGGCGACAAACAAAAAGGAGTCAGCAAACAGTGTGTGAGGAGAAAAAAAAATGGTGAGCAAATGGGAGACAAAAAAATGGTAAAGTAAAGAAGTGAAGGGGCTTATCCACTGTTGAAAAAGTGCTTTTCAACACAATCGAATAGTAGGTGGGCAAGTTTATGAGTGAGTGAAAGGGAAAGACGGAAAGTAGACAGATTTAGAGGATAAAGACGATTGCTCTTGCATTGTACTTTGTGCTCTTGGAAGCATGGTAAACACACCCTTTCTAGTGCACTCAACTGTCCAGTAGAATGTTTTTGAGCCACGAAGTGCATCCTGAGAAGTTACAGAAACCTCCTGGCCAAAGCAAAAACCTTTTTTTTTTTGCGTTCAACTTTTTCACAATGTTGGACGACAAGGCGTCAAAAGTCAATCGTAAACATTGGAGCTTTTTTTTGTGTATTTTCCCGTCTTCTATGTGTCTCCTTTTTTTTGAGATCACTCAATTTGAACAATGAAAAAAGAGAGATTGCTCTCGTTACTGATCAGAAAATGAATCAAAAAAAATGATGTGGATTTTTCTTGGAAATGAAATGCAATTATAAGTTTTTTGTAAATTTACCAGCGTCAAGCTTTTCGAATTTATTCTAGCTATTCCGCAAAATGATTTCTATGCAAACTTACCGTAAATACTGTAATAGTACCGCACCGCCGTCGTACAGTCGCGTAGTCGCAAAAGTTTTTTAGTGTTTAATTTTTTTCAAAGCGCCCGTACTTTCAAAGAACCCGTCTTTGGTATCAAAAAATAGCTGAAATTCAGGGCTATTTTTTGATACCTAAGCGCGCATTGTAGCATAAACCAGTGTCGAGAAAAACTCGTTCAAAGCTAGACTACGCAACACTCCGCACCGTCATTATGGGCGCTGGGGTACTATTACAGAATTTACGGTAGTTATCCCCTGTTTTTTGAGCTCAAAAATTTGCAGCCATAAGTCTTCTCTGGTGTATTTTATTGAACAAGCTGATGTGAAGAAAAGTGAAAGCTTCAAGTGCACCAGAAATGGTGTGCTTATCGCATTAGAGCACACTGTAACACTTTGTTCTTTGTAAACCCAAAAAGTTACACTAAGCGATGTGTGTTTGAAACATTTTTATGTGTGCCCAACGGTTTTAGCCTCCATTTATTCTCTCGACAAATCGGTGTCAAACTGATCTCCACAAATTTTTGCTTCACAAAGGAAGGAGAGATGAAGGAGATGAGTACTTATCCACACACACTTATCAACAAAGAGAAAGGTGAACTTGAAAAAAAAGCGATGGGCGCACAAACAGCAGACAGTTTGTCTTTGTCTCAGCACTGGGGTTGATGAGTTGAAAATTTCTGGCAAAGAGGAGAGGATTTAGTCTCTCTTTACCTCACCTCAACGCACAAAAAGTAAGTGGCACTTTGAGTTTTTTTAGAAGTAAGTGGGTTCCCGGGGTCCCCAGGTCGTCCAGAACTGGTTTTACGGGAGAATGGTCCGGAGAAAGGGTGGAGAGACTGCGTGGATAGAAAGAGACAGAAGTCATGACAATGAGACAGGCGAAGAAAAACTAGCGACTATGGAGAGGTGAAGGACGAAGAGTATTCAAGTAAACAACTGGGTTTGGGTAGAGAGACTGGAAAGGAGTAGAGAAAGAGATGGTGTCAGATAGGAGTAGATGGGTCCGCAAGAGAGAGTTGGGATAGAGAGAAGGGGTGTTAAGATTCAAGAACGATCCATAGACTGGAAGAGAGTTCACAGGAGGACAAAGGTAAAGATACTAGAGTTCTACAGTAGTGAGAGACTGGGACAGGGTTTTGAGACGGAGAAAGAGTGGTGTAAAGGCTGGCGGTGAGACTGGCGGTGAGACTGGAGATCTTTGGTGGAGAGCCAGTCTACAGGAGTAGTGATAGAGGCTGGGAGACGAGAGACTGGGGCTAGGGTTCTAGATAGAGATGGGGAAATTAACAAGGGCTGAAGTAGTAGGTGGAGAGGGGTGCTGGGGGTGGCAAATTTACCCACCCGCCCACCATGGACACAGCGGAAGAACAAATATCCATATGAATTTCTAGTATAAAAGAGGGGTAGAGTTGCTGGTTGATCACTCTTCCCCACCGATCAATCCATTTTTCAATCAGAGATGAGATTCGCCACCGTTGTCTGCCTTGTCGCTTTGTGCGCTGTCGCTTTCGCCGAGCCTGTACGCTTTTTATATTATCTATTATATTATATTATAATATTATATTATAATATTATATTATTATATTATATTATATTATATTATCTGTTAACTTATATTTTTGCATAATTAGTAGATTTAATGCATTAGTACATTGGTGAATGATTCTTAAAATTAGAGAGCTCTACTAGAAGCTCTGATTTTTTTATATTATTTGATAATCTTTCTGTATCAGGTTATGCTAGATTTTAGAATTTAAGATTACGATAGCTTTTGGTGTTTAACAGCTTTCGAGCCATTAAATCCAATTAAATCTGTGAAAATTCCTGCAACTTGATACTCAAAATTTGCCAAAGCCAAACTGAGTACTGTAGCTGAATACACAGTTGGTCTTTAGACTAATAGATCTTTAGACTTATAGGCTTAAGACTGTAGCTTTAGATAGAGCTTTAGATAGAGCTTTAGATAGAGCTTTCGATAGATAGAGATAGATAGAGCTTTAGATAGAGCTTTAGATACAGCTTTAGATAGAGCTTTAGATACAGCTTTAGATACAGCTTTAGATACAGCTTTAGATAGAGCTTTAGATAGAGCTTTAGATAGAGCTTTAGATAGAGCTTTAGATACAGCTTTAGATAGAGCTTTAGATAGAGCTTTAGATCCTATATCTAACATTGAAACCATGTAATCATTAATCCAAATCATTTTCAGCTTCGTCGCCGTCGCCAAGCCAACTGCGGCTGCCAACAGCCCCAGCAAAGCCAGTGCTCGTGCCAGGTTTGTAAAAAGGCTCAAAAATTATCAAAATTACCTAGTAATCAAAATTACTATTTTCTAGAATATCATCATCATGCGGGTATTCATTTTTTAAAAGAAAACCTAAATTTATCCAATCTTTCTGTCAAAATAGAGCTCAAAAACCCATGTCAACCGTAATTCAACCGTAATTCAATGTCAACCGATACCGAAAAAGCCTATGCAACTTTATATAACTGTATATTCAAGCTAATACTGATATCTAATCTATTTATCTTATAAAACCCTTTCCAGCAACCCCAGCAACAACCCCAGCAATCGTGCTCGTGCCAACAGCAACAACCGGCGAGCAACAACTGCGGATGTCAGCAGAACACACAGAACCAACAGGTACGGTAATAGATAAAGGTGTTTACTGTGATAAGGCTACAAAAAACGTTTCCATGTTCTGTAGCTAGCTACACAGTTGTTGCTACAGCTACACAGTTGTTGGCACTTCTCTGAATGACTTTTACTTCTATTTTACTTCTATAAAAAACTGAGTATTAATAGTGTACTTGTAAAGCACACGGTGAACTATTCCTAGTGTACTTGTAAAGCACACGGTATCGGTGAACTACTCTTGACACTTAGATCCACTCAAATCCTATAAAATCCTATAAAATTTTCATTCTGTCTTCTTTATTTATCTCATATCTCATTTTTCAATCTTTTCTATTCACCCCTTCGATTTTAGCTTTTCTACAATCCACCAAACAATCAAAACGGTTTCTCATCAACGATGGGCTACGGCTCAACGACACCCTACTATGGACAGAATAATCAATTCTCGAGCACCCCATTCCCCGTACAGGTGTCCCCTCAGTTCGCGATGATCCCTTCATTCATATCCACGATAAACCCTCGCACCACAGCCCTAAAACTAGAGCCTTTTTCCCTAAAATTTCTCTGTTCAAACTTCAATCAGTGATTTTAGTATGATCAACAAGTCCAGCAACAACAAATGTACAACACTCCTGGATACCTCAACCAGCCACAATACAGCAGCACTTTCGCCCCGATCACCTACAACCAGGTTTGTTCAACTTGAATTGAGCACTGTAAAGAGATAAACGAGGCGAGGGGTCGAATCAGAAACAAAGAAACCATGGCTCGCTTTGTGTACAAGCAACTTATCCGCTTGGGTCCACCAGCTCATTTTGATGTCGCTTCAGAAAAGCCTTTAATCGAGATGTTCTAGCTAACTTTTAGTGTAATCCTGTACTCTAGAACTCTGAATCCTACCGTAATCTTACTCATCTTCCATTTCCAGAACCAACAGATGAACCAACAGATGAACCAACAGTGCGGCCAGTGCCAACAACAGTGCCAAGCCCAGCCCCAATGCCAGCAACAACCTCAGCAACAATGCCAGCAACAATGCACTCAGCAATGCCAACCTCAATGCCAGCCCCAGGTAGTTTCGATCTAAATTTCATCAGAAATTTCTTTTAGCAACAACAACAACAACAGCCAGCCTGTCAGCCTCAATGCCAGCAACAATGTCAACCCCAATGCCAGCAACAATCTGCCCCACAGTGCAACCAGTGCCAGCAACAGTGCCAGAGCTCGTGCCAACAATATACTGTCCAGGTAGCTTTCTGAGGCTTCAAGACGCCTGTATACCCAATTCCTAGATGCCCCAGCAGAACCAGTGCCAGCCACAATGCCAACAACAGTGCCAGCCTCAATGCCAGCAACAGTCTGCCCCTCAATGCAACCAGTGCCAACAACAGTGCCAGTCCTCGTGCCAACAACAACAACCCCAACAACAGGCCCAAGTCATTCAGGTATGAGAGTCCCGGGATCAGTACCTATTCACTTCTTCAGATCACTGTCCAGCTTCCATCCTCTGTTGCCTCGAACCCATCTCAATGCCAGCCTCAATGCCAGCAACAGTGCCAGCAACAATGCCAACAGAGCCAGCCCGTCAGCCAGTGCCAGCCAGCTTGCCAACAGGTGAGGAATAGACTGAGCCTTTTCCTTCTCAAGTATACCCAGCTACAGTAGCGATTAGAAAGTACTACCTGTAAATCTTATCTGTAATCTTATCCACCATTCCAGCAATGCCAATCGACTTGTGCCCAGTCGACCCCAGTTGTGATGGCGTGTCAACCCCAACAATCTTCGGGCTGTGGCTGCCAATCGGGCTACTCTCCGTGCCAAAACTCGTCCCAATGCTGCCGAAAGTAATTTCCGTGCCAAATAATTCTTTTATTTCCCTTTAAAAAGGGATATTTGTACATTAGTGGAACAATATCGGGAATAAACGATTTTTCTGATTTTCATGATTTTGTCTTTGATTCGGTTTTAAAAACACATCACGAATTAAAATTTGCCGAAATACTACAGTTTCAACTTAAAATTGCCTCATTATATGGCAAAAGAATTAAAAATTTTCAAACACCCACTTTCTGATGCACTTGATACACTTCTATGCGAAAGTCTTTTGCCCATTGCAATGGATTAAAAGAAATCCATTAAATCGTTCCGACTTGATAGCACAATGCATTGTGCTATCAAGTCTGAACGATTTAGCCACGAAAAGAACGTTAGAATTTTTTTGGATAGCTTAAACTTTCTACTTTCATAATCCAAAAGATAAAAACAATAACATTTTATTTAACAAAAAATTTTGACAATATTCCAAAAAAAACATGATGCAAAAGTCTTGAGCGGTATAGAAAAAACAAAAATTCAATACTTAGTAGGTCCTCCTTTTGCGACATTCACTGCTTTGATATGTCTAGGCATCGACTCGACGAAATCACGTAGAATCCCAAAGAAAGTTGTCGCCAAATATTTCTGATAATGAAATAAGCATCGGCCGTCGAATTGAACCGGTATCCCTTGAGTTTAGCCTTTAAATGGGCCCAAATATGCTCTATAACGTGCAAATCTGGCGAATAGGGAGATGCATTAATTAATTTCACACGATGGGCAGCAAAAAAAGCCGGGCAGGCGAGCTCTTCCTTCATTTGCAAGCTCGCCATCAGTAGTTGGCTTTTGCCCATCAGTAGTTGGCTTTTGCCCATCTGTAGTTGGCTTTTGCCCATCTGTAGTTGGCTTTTGTGGCATGGAGCGTTGTCTTGATATAAGGCCCATCCTTGTTGCATGTTCGCGTTCGCAAATGGAAGTAAGTTGTTCTTCATGATCGACTTGTACCCCTGAGCATCGAGAGTTCCATTGATAAGCACTAGGGGTCCCGGTACAATTCGGTTCATCGAACCTAAACAAGACAGATTGTAAGTAAAAAGTAAAGCGAACACTTACCCCACAACATAATGCTCCCACTGCCGAATCTGACCGTTGGTTTAACGTATTAAAACGCTAAGCTTATAACGTTGTCCAACTGGCCTTCTGATCAAATGGTTACCGTCCGGGTAGTATAAATTGAGTTTAGTCTCATCGGTGAAAACAATTTGTCGTCCCAATCGTCAGCAGTCCAGAATTCGTAAAAAACAATCTCATCCTCCGGTGCTTGGAAAGCATAAAGGGCCTCTTGGGTGGTCTTCTCACATGCAATCCTGCTCGAATCAAGCGTCTATTGATGCTCCATCGAGAAATATCCTTGCCAGAAACGGCTTTCAACTTCTTGATCCCTGTGGCGAATTGCCACTGCTCTGCAGTTAGTCAAAAATTGAATACAAGTTAAAGTTCAAAGTTGCTGGATAAACTACCGTAATCAGTCACTAAATGATATTCAGCTGTCCGGTTGTTGTAGCTTGTATGCTTAAAAAACCCATTATTTAAGCTTTGCTTTCGAGTGAGTTTGTTGTTCTCCTTTTTCGTGCTTTATCATTCTTTTTTCACATTCAAGTGTTGATTTAATTGTGATAGTGCCAAGTTGCTCTAGTTTGAGCGAAGTTGCCCTAATAAGGGAAAGTTGGATAAATTATTACGTTTTCAAGAAGACCGCTGTCGTGACGATCTCGTGATCGAGATTGCCACGTATGGAAATGGCCAGCTAGACACCTATGGGGACGAACGCCTATTGTGCTAGATTTAATATGCGTCGCTATCCGTTCAACTCCATTGTGTGGAAGACGAGACGAACGCCTATTGTACGAGATTTAATATGCGTCGCTATCCGTTCAACTCCATTGTGTGGAAGACGATTGAACATTTAACCACACCGAGACACGGTCTCACAAGAAATTATATAGATCAAACCATCAACATATATTTCTTACAATCCCATGTCTCGATGTAAGATTAGGGTTGATTCTATGATCCATGATGATCGGACGATCCTCATTTGGTGCTGTAATTGATCATCAACCTCTTTTTGGGGCTGTATGAACGTTTCCTTTCGATTTGGATTGCGCCACGAGACGTTTAGAATGTTTTTTTTTTCAGAACACTTGAACGTTTCCATCAAATCCTTCACGCCTCTTGCTCGATTCTCGACAATTTTCTCTTTGTCAAGTGTTGATAGGCATCTAAAAAAATAAAATTAGAACCAAAAAAAGAAAAGATAAAAACAAGAAATACTAAAAAAGAAAGTCAAGAAATACAAGACCGCTCAAGACTTTTGAACCATGTTTTTTTTGGAATATTGTCAAAAATTTTTGTTAAATAAAATGTTATTGTTTTCATCTTTTGGATTATGAAAATTGAAGTTTTGAGCTATCCAAAAAGATTTTTGCCAAAAAAATTTTAACGTTCTTTTCCTGGCTAAATCGTTCAGACTTGATAGGACAGTGCGACCGATAAAGACTTTTGCACCGCAGTTAGTGTTTTCTTGCTTTCTTTCTTTCTTGTAGTTACCGTAAATACTGTAATAATACCCCCACCCCCCTCGTACAGTCGCGTAGTCGCAAAAGTTTTTTAGTATTTCATTTTTTGCAAAGCGCCCGTACTTTCAAAGAACCCGTCTTTGGTATCAAAAAATAGCTGAAATTCAGGGCTATTTTTTGATACCAAAACGAAGATTTTAGCATAAACCAGTGTCGAGAAAAACTCGTCCAAAGCTAGACTACGCAACACTCCGCACCGTCATTATGGGGGTGGGGTACTATTACAGAATTTACGGTAGTGTTTTCTTGCTTTCTTTTGTTTCGCAAGAAAATGAGGAATTAAGTGCATGAGTAAGGGTGAGTTTAGGTAAAGTTTGAGCATAAAGTGTATGATGTTGAAGAGGCGGGATTTTGTTACAAGCCTCTGTAACGCTTAACTCTTTTGAGTTGACGAAAACAAGTGAACGTAGGCAATTCTTAGCGTCGTAGTCTTTAGCTGCATTGTCATAAAAGTCAAAGAAATCTTTAGGAAAACCAAATTGACAGCCTAAATTTGTATTTGTGTCATTTCTCTATTTACCAAACCAATTCAAGAGTTTCATTGTCACTTTTGTGATTGAAAGTTTTCCCTCCAATATCTGTTTGTGCTTAAATTTTTCTTTGTTAAATATTGACTAGAAAATGGCTTTTTTTTAATCTTTTCAAGCTGTATCAAATCAAAATGATTTTTGATTCAATTTCAATTTGGAACCGTATTGGAACAGTATTGGAACCGTATTAGATCAAAATAGGAACCGTATTGGATCAAAAAAATATCCGTAGTGGAGCCGTATTGGAACCGTATTGGATTAAAAAGAGAACCGTATTGGATCAAAATAGGAACCGTATTGAAACCGTATTGGAACCGTATTGGAACCGTATTAGATCAAAATAGGAACCGTATTGGAACAGTATTGAAACCGTATTTTAACCGTATTAGATCAAAATATGAACCGTATTGGAATCGTATTGGAACCGTATTGGAACAGTATTGGAACCGTATTGGATCAAAATAGGAACCGTATTGGAACAGTATTGGAACCGTATTGGAACCGTATTGGAACAGTATTGGAACCGTATTAGATCAAAATAGGAACCGTATTGGAACAGTATTGGAACCGTATTAGATCAAAATAGGAACCGTATTGAAACCGTATTGAAACCGTATTGGAACCGTATTGGAACCGTATTAGAACCGTATTAGATCAAAATAGGAACCGTATTGGAATCGTATTGGAACCGTATTGGAACAGTATTGGAACCGTATTAGATCAAAATAGGAACCGTATTGGAACAGTATTGGAACCGTATTAGATCAAAATAGGAACCGTATTGGAACAGTATTGGAACCGTATTAGATCAAAATAGGAACCGTATTGGAACAGTATTGGAACCGTATTACATCAAAATAGGAACCTTCAAGGTTAAAAGGGATTTCTATTCATAAATTTGAAACCTTTTCGATTAAAAAAAAATTAAAATGATAAAATAATATTTTAAAATCGTTCTAAAAAATTCTAAAATTCGTAAATTTGAAGAAAAATCTTCGGATTTTGTCATCATTCGAAATTTGTGCATTTAGAGGAAAAAAAGGGCGGCGGGTCGACATTTTTGAAGGGAAAAGGCACGCGTTCATCGCCCCATCGGCAATATGCAAAGAACATGGGAAATCCGTTTTTCGCTTTGCTGAAAATGGCAACTTTTGTAGATTTCATTAATGGTATACTTTTGAATTTAACTTTCAAATTTTAACTTTTTACGTTTCCTAATTCATTTGTAAGCTACTATGGAGTTAGATCAGCTTTGTCATAGTTAGACAAGTTTAAGATCAAGATTTTACATTTGCATACGATAATACTTGTATTAGAGTGCCCGTTTTGCTGTAAACAGATTAGCTTCAGATATTCCAATCGATTCTGGTAATTTTGGCTTCTGGCGGACCTAGAGATTCTTGTGGGGGAAGAGCTGGTCAAAGCCAGGTCTAGCAGGGTTCGCCAGGTTAGTCAGGTCAAGGTTAGCCAGGTCAAGGTCAAAGCCAGGTCAAGCAAGATTAGCTAGGTCAAGGTCAAAGCCAGGTCAAGCAAACTTAGCCAGGATCAAGGTCAAAGCCAGGTCAAGCAAGCTTAGCCAGGCCAAGGTCAAAGCCAAGCAAGGTTAGCCAGGTCAAGGTCAAAGCCAGGTCAAGCAAGGTTAGCCAGGTCAAGGTCAAAGCCAGGTCAAGCAAGCTTAGCCAGGCCAAGGTCAAAGCCAGGTCAAGCAAGGTTAGCCAGGTCAAGGTCAAAGCCAGGTCAAGCAAGCTTAGCCAGGCCAAGGTCAAAGCCAAGCAAGGTTCGCCAGGTTAGCCAGGTCAAGCATGGTTAGGCTTAGGTTTAGGCTTAGACTAGATCAAGCCAGATCAAGCCAGATCAAGCTTTGGCAGTTAGGCTTTCGCTTGGCTTACAAGATCA